ATATCATATTTGGTGGATGTGTAAAAAAGCTAGAAGATTCTGGATTCAAATACATATTGATTCAGAGGATTTTAAATATTAATATACAATTGAGATCAGAGATTTTTCTTTTGGGATTGATGGACAAACAGTTGCAAAAAAGTTATGGAACTTTGTTTTTGTACATGATAACTGCAGCGAAATTATTGTATGCACAAAGATGGAAAAATTTGGCACTACCCACAATGGAGGAATGGTTGGTGATGATGAAGGAACTTGCTGAGATGGCTAAATTGACTTCTTTGATCAGAGAAAAGACAATATCTACATTTACTGTTGACTGGAAACCTCTTATAGACTTTTTGTGTGAAACAGAAAAAAATGAACTTATGATTTGTGGTTTTGATGATTAGGCAGGATAGGTTATGGAAAGAAGAGAGTTATGTTGTAACCATAAAGTAAGAGGTAAATTTATAATTGTACTTATAACTGCTGTAAACAAGATCAGAAGCTATTTCTCTGTATATTTTTTCTTTCTTTTCTGTTTTTCTTTTACTTTTTCCCCTTTCTGGCACCTTTAGCTTTCTCTTTGATTTCTTTCTTTTTCTTACTTTATATTAGTTTGTATTAGTTTTTATCTTCCTTTTAAAAAAATCTTTAATAAAAGTTATGTATGTATGTATGTTTTTTCCAGCCCAGATCTGGTAGCCCTACCTAATTTAAGGCAATTGTTTGATGCTGGGGTAATCATTCTACCTGTGGCTGCTTTTAAAAATGTGAGCTTGGAATCCGATTAACTTTACATGGGAAGAGATTAGTCACATTGTCTCTCTTAGGGTGCTGCCAGCTGTTAAAGAGTATTTCTGAGAATTATTGACTACTTCTAGAATCTTAGTTCACTTTTTAATTTTATTTTGTAGGAATTGTACGTGGCCAGACATGCCCATGAATGTGGAAGAATCTAGGCAGGTGAGCTGTGAATTGCTAATGAAACAGATATTTGGGTGACATGTGGTATATCAAAAGGCCATGAACTGCATTTTCAAGGTTTTGTTTTTTACATGCTATGTTTTCTTTACACTTTGGTTCTCTCTCCTGCTTTGGAGTAGTTCCTTGGTAGTTCCTGCTGATATTATCTATCTTCCAGGAGGCACCCTACAGTTGCCCTTCCCCTAGCCACCAATGTTTGTAAGAAAGAGGGCCTTCACAACCTGTGAGAGATGAACAAAAAGTGAAATAATTAATGTAGTGCCACCTCCTGGCCAAATAGGTGTGTGGCTAGAGGAATCAACTCTTCTCTTCATCCCCACCTCTTTTCAATCTTACAAGAAATAAATAAAATGAAATGTTTTTTTTTAAAAAAAAAACAGGAAAAGAAAATTAAAAAAATATTTTTAAAATGTTGTAATATAAATATTCAGTGTTGAAGAAGAAAAATTACAGAGCTGTTCAGATTATGGGGGAGGAGCAGATTGGTTAAAAAAGAAAACGCAACAGACAGTGTAATGCTCTGAAGAGACAAGTTGGTAGAGATCTGCTGCAAATAGGATTTCTCCATCCCATAGTCCCAGTAAAGAGATAGGAAGTTATTCTGAAATATTGCCAAGAAATCTTGTCCAGGCAGTCACCAAGAGTCAACACTGACTCAAAGTTACCAAACCCAAAAAATTAGATCCATGCCTATAATATGATCCAAGGCTGATCTTAAAATTCACTTTCCTAATTTATGCACAGGGTTAAAGAATCTTAGACTTACTACAAAAACAGTGGACAGAGATTAAAGTCTGAAAATAAATTCTTCACTAGATGTGTTAACTGTTTCTATAGAAATAAAATACTCCTTAACAGATGCCTCCATTGCTCTTCAATTTATCTGGACTTTCCCATAGACTCCTGGAGATGCCAGCCATGTATGAGAAGCTATTTAGAGAGAGGGCACATACTTCTTGGTTTCCAGCTTCTATCCAGCAGCTTTTGACTCATTTTAAAAGTTTAAAACTGGTTTTTTTATACTCAGGAGAGGGAGTGGCTGGGGGAATGTATCTGTATGTGATATTGCATCTCTCCCTCATGAGAGCTGATTCTGCAGCCTGCCTGCAAGGACGTATATTGAGAATGTCTGAGTCCTGCTGGCTGGCAAGAGATCTACAGTATACCCAGGATACATGCTAAAGCTGGTCTTATGCAAAACTTACTCACTAATGGTCTGATAAACCACACATCTACTATCATGCCTCTTCAGAGCCATTTCTAACTTTTAAGAATCCATTTTTAAAAAAGAAGACTCATTGAACTCTCAAATGGAAGAACAAATTGAACTTCATATTTGTATGTTTTTAAAAAAATTATAATCATGGGAGAATTGAAAGACTACCTACCATATCATCTTTTGATTTACTAGATTAGTGTGACTATCATGGCATCTACATTCATGAAGAAGCTGGGCTTGCTGCGATAGCAAATTTGTGATGTGACTCTTGGATTTGTGTTGGACGGTGGTTATGTCTGGAAACAATACATTTCTTTGATAATGAGAATAATCTTAGCAGGAATCTACTAATCCATTAAATATGCTTCACTCAGCCCAATTCATAAATAGGCTAATAGGCTATTTTACTTTTATTAAAATATCTGTCCAGTAACAAAGGAACCTAGGACAAGATATAATCCATATAGATAATAAAACAACTGAAGAAAAAACCCTATAAAAAGATCAAGCTACAGGAACTAAGACTCCAGAACTTACATGAATAGCCAGGCTTTCACCTTGAATGAAACCACTCTTGGCACCAGCCTAGGTTCCAGTATGAAGAAAGTCCTTAATTAGGCACAAAGGCTCTCTCTCACATTTCCAGATAATATGTACCCATAATGAAGGGGTACCTTATGGGGTGAGCACCATTTGTAGATTCTGATGGTTGGGCAGAGAACCAGTCTATTAGGAGAGGTGTTCTGCCAAGTGTCCTAGCAGACAAATGTCTTGGCCATGTGATTTAGTCCTGCTGTCCAATCCCAAAGAAATAGATCTTTATCTTAGTTTTTAACATTATATAATCATAATAAGACAGCTGGTCTTGTCCATTTCTGGTTAAAATGCTATAGTGGTAGAGTTACTGTAGTATTAACATTAATTAATTTTAAAATTCTCCGTTGTCTCTTTTCTGAAATGAACTCCAATAGTTTTGATTAACAAAGAAGTTCTGGAACTCTTGTTTTAGCTGTCCAAAGACTAGATTTCTCCATACAAATTGTCTTTTTTGTATCTCTTACAATCAGTTACTTCCTTAGTTACTGCATTTGCTATCATTATGTTTGAGTTACGACTTTATATTTTCCACACCTTTCTTTCTTTGATAAACCCCAAACAAAACAGCCAGGTGGTTCACTGAATGGGAGAAATCCAGCAAAATTGTAATCTGCTGATGACAGTGAAGCCTGGACATTGATGTTCTCTTGGCTTCACTTGATCATTAAATTGATTTAATCTTCTTTTGTCATTCATTTTTATCCTGTATATCCTCTTATGCAGGATGGATTGGCAGTTTGACAGGGACTGTCTGACTGACAACTTAAAACAAAAGGTCAATTTAGGGCAGAGAATTTAAAGAAGGGAAAAGAAAGGATCAAACCTAAATTAAATGGGTATAAATATAAAGGGTCTTCTCTAAACTTTTTGGTCTGGTGGGCACATTTGTACTGTTGAGGATGTGTAATTCTAGAGAAATTAGGCAATCAGAAAATGCCCATTTACCAGAAGGCAAATTGGTGAGGATATGCATCTCATCACCTCTCCCATCAATCCCAGGATGACTTCTGTTATCCCAGCTGAGCTCTAAGGGGGACAAACTTCCAAGCAAAATTGTGGACTGGTGCTAACCACCATTTTTTATTTTCCAAGGATGCCTGCTGGGTGTTCTTAGAAGTAAAGAGAATGCTTATCTATTGCCATTTCATTTTACTTCTTTCTTTTTAAAAAGAAAAGGATCTTGAAAAATATGTTATGGGGCAAGAAATGTGGAAGGAGGAAATGTCTGTGGATATACTGGGGTCTGTAGGCACCACCTTAAGAGCCCTATTTTAAAAAAACTCCAAACTGAAAACAGTTTGCTAAGATTTTTCAAACTTGTACTTTATAGTTCAAATATAAATGAGTTATCGGGGCTGTTTCAAATAGACTACAAACCTTCTCTGTAAGAATTGTATCATTCTGCTCCTAAGTGTAATACCTACCACATACTGTAGTTGTATTAAATAAACTGCTATGGGAGTTGTGCACCACGATTTAAATGGGGTGTGGATTACATCTTATTTATACCATATAAGATGAATGGTAATATTGAAAATGACTTGTGGGGAGGGATAATTATGTGTTAATCATGTCAAAATCTCATTTTAAAAAGATAGGAAAAAGAAAGGTTTCCCTTGTGCAGTGCTGGATCATTTGCTATGGGCCTTTGTCTGACTGGATGGAAACAGTCACAAAGCAGAGTTGGGAACCTGAGTCCCAAAAACCAGAGTCCTCCCCCCATTCCCCAGCAGGCCAGATGTTATCTAGGAAAAGTGTTTCAGGGAGGGAGCTGCTTGGCCTTCTACTTTGGGAACTCCACTGAAGGAATCAAGACACAGCTATGGACTAAGCGTTCTTACAAGCTCAAATAGACATCTGAACAATTCTGACTGTTAGAGAAGCACTCTGAACATATTCCAAGAACTCTGCAGCTTGTCTTGCGTTGCCCTGTGGCCAATTCAAATCTGGCTTTCATTTTCTCCCTCTCCCCTCCCATCCTTGGAGCTGTACCAGTAAACAAAGCATTTTCTTTCTCCTAGTACTTCTTTTCCCAAATCCCTGACAAGAAAGCCTGTTCCTGAAGCCCAGCCCCAGGTTAGTCTTTCTTTAGGTAGAGAGGGATAGGCAGCAATTTTTCTGTGTCTTCTCCCGCACAAAGAGAAGGCCTATTTTATTTTGTGAAGCACTCAGCAAGTCTCCATTTCTGAACAGAGAAAATCCTCTAATCTTCAATCAGAAATTGATAAAAGATGAGAAGTTGCCTCTGCCCATCCACGTGTTCACCATACAGCCTTTTCTTGGTGGGATTAGAAATGTGAGACAAGGGAAAGGGGATGGTAGACTGGGTAGGATATTGGCTTGCCCAAATGTTCTCCATGGTTGTAATCCAGCAAGTGTTAATGGAAAAGGGGCAGTGACCTCAGGCAGGGCAAGCCATACCTAGTGGCTTGGTTACTTGTCTAAGGTGTGGGGGGATGGGAGGAAGTCTGGAGAAGATTGCTTACTGAGTATCTGCTCTAAGGGATGGAGGCTTTAAAGGTGGCTAGCTAAAGGTGCTGGTAGATGACAGCAAGATACTACCAGAGAGGAGAACACTAATGAACAGACAAGAACCCTAATGAAAGGAGAGAGATTAGATAGACACATGGATAAATCTACACACACCCTGCCTGAACTGGTAAAACTGGTCTCAGAACTGAACATAGAATTTCCTCCAATTAATTTCATTGGGGAATTTAACATGTCAAATTACCTTCATAAGAAGCAGCTTGGGATCTTGTAATTTCTGTGACAAGTATGAATTGACTTCACTTATATTTGTCTTTGCATATATGGTAAAATGTAGTATTTGCTAGCCAGGATAAAGGTGCTCCGTTGGCAGGAGAATGAAAAAGGATTTTATTAACATGGACAGGTCACTACTGAATGAGGGTTAGATTTACTGGATGCATCAAGATGTTTTTGCTCCAAGTACTGTTTTTGGAGGACCAAGTGGGTACTGTAGCCAGGAGTTCTTTGGATTGGTTTTGGCTAATACTCTAATTGTGTCCTTTTCCTGAAAGCAGTGGATCTAACCACAATGAGTCATGCATTAATTAGCTTTTACTTAGATTACTTTAATGTATATATACATGATGGGTGTGGGGGGGGGCTTTTTTTTTTTTGGTGCCTTTGAGTCATTGTTGACTCCTGGCAACTGCCTGGACTAGTCCTGCAGTTTTCTTGGCGAGATTTCGGAAGTGGTTTGCCACTGCCTGCTTCTTAGGGCTGAGAGAGAGTGACTGCCCCAAGGTCACCCAGCTGGCTTCATGCCTAACATGGGACTAGAACTCACGGTCTCCCAGTTTCTAGACCAGTGCCTTAACCAATACACCAAACTGGCTCTTATATACATGGTTAGGATATCTAAAGTACCCCCTTCAGCAATTTTCATTCTTCATCGGAGGACCTGTGATATACCCCACCACACAAAAAGGATAGGCTGATAAATATGTGAGACGTGGCTACTTCTGTCTCACTTCTGTAACGTGTGATAGGTGGAAAGTCTTGTGTAGGAGGCTGGTTTGGTACCATTTGACTGAATGTTCAGCAGGCAATAGAATCTTCAACATTTTGCTGTGCTGTTGATGGTATTGGTCTTGTTTTCCCATTAGTTTCTAAAGAAGGTTCAGTGTCTGTTTTATTTTGCTTTAGAGATGTTATTCTATTACTGTATTCTTGTTTTAAACTATATATTGCTGTGGAGTTCTTGATGAGCAGAGAAACATTTTGAACATACTCTGTAGCAGTCTTCCTGCACATGGAACTAGATGAGTTGGGCTACAATTCCCATAATTCTAATTAGCATAGCCTTTGGCATTTTTCTCATCTCCATTGCAATCCATATTTTGTATTATTTTGTATTGTACGCACTCACACATTGCTTCCAGCTGAACATGCATATTTTCAAGAAGAGTTTTGCATTATCTGTGCAGCTGCCTGTTGAAGAGAGAAAAAGAACCTTACTGGTGGAGTAGAAAAACGTGCTGTCACTTGTCATGACTGTCACAGAGTTCACTGAGAATCTACACCTTTTGGCACAGCTGGAAATGAAGATATAAACACTCACTCCCACACTATTACTTTTAAATATGCTCTTACCTACTTTATTCCCAGGTCAGCAAAATACTTTTATGACTTCATCAGTGACAACTTCACAAGATTCAAAAAGGCTGGGTAAGATCCAGCCTAGGGAACAGGGGATAATGTGCCACATTCAGGAGGCCTACAGGTGGATTCCAGCCTGAAAATGTCCCATTGTGGGGGCTGATTTTTTATTACTGCTATAAAGTAGGTAAAGGCAGAATGTCAACAGCACTGGCTTCATCTCACATGGAGAACCCTTTGATATCAAGTAAGTAATACCTCTGCCTTTCTATTTAACATGCCCCATGGATGTAACAAAGGCTCTCCCCTGATGTAGAATGAAAAGGTCCTAGAACAACTGACAAAAATAAACACAAAAGTGGATGTTTTAATTCATCTTGTCATCAAGCCTGTCATCCTGGGCCCATTCTTCTACTTTCTCCCCAGCTCCAGCCCCAGCTCCAGCCCCAGCTATGTGTCATCTTCCTGGAAGGATAGGTTTCCCTGGGGAACGGAAATATTGTTTACTCTCAGAAGTGTCTGACGTAAAATACAAGTTTATTTGGGCAAAACATTTCAGCCCTGTTCTTTACTGTAAAAGCTTTCCAAGTAGTTTTCAGATGATTTAAAAAATCCTTGCACTGAAATTTATAATCTGAGAGATACAAAGAAAAGGCATGAGTGGAAGAAAACAGCAAACGTGGACCCAACAACTGCTACAAAATCTTTATGAGACCACTGGGATGAAACAGTTCGAGTAGAGGAGAAGCCCACAGTACTGGTCCCTCAGCAACACTGATGCTATGGCCTTGCCTCCTAGCTCTCCCTCTGCTCTGATGCTCCCCCTGAAGCCTGATGAAAGGCCATCAGCAGGTCACTGATAGTCTGGTAGTCCTTGGCTCCCACAGATGGGGTTAATTGGTACAATGCAGTAGCTAGAGGGCAGGGTTGGAACTAGGAAGACCACCCCAACTGGCATTGGCAGCCATAGCATTTGTCACTATAAAATCTCTCTTCTACCCCGTATGATTCCCTTTTACTTCTGGCATTAACAATTACAGACACTGCCACTTCAGCCATAAATAGCAGACCACTATGCATTTTCAGTGTGACTGAATGGTTCCCTAAATATTTTTGTTTGGATTTGATTAAAAAGTCACATGATCCCAAGCCCTTCATGGCATGAGACTGGGTTATCTGAGGGACCACCTCTCCCCAGTTACATCTGCTCATCTCATTAGATCTGGCAGAGACGGCATGCATCAGGTCCTGTCTGCTAGGGACTTACACTTGGTGGGTCCCAGGAGGCGGGCCTTCTCTGCTGTGGTGCCCACCTTTTGGATCATTCTTCCCCCTGAAGTGAGGTTAGCTCCATCCCTTTTAATGTTCTGTAAGTTCCTCAAGACCTGGCTTTGTCATCAGGCCTGGGGGTGATCTTAAGATGGTTCTAGTATTGTGTTTAATCTACACTCTCCTGTACCAGATGGCTATATTTTTTAATAATGTCTGTTTTTTAATAATTGTTTTTATATATTTATTGTTTTATTTTAATGGTTGTACACTGCCCAGAATCACTTTGTGTGAGATGGGCAGCCATATAAATTTACTAAATAACATAAATAAATAAAAATAAAATAATTTCAGCAAGAACACACTAAGGGTCAAAGTATGCTGGGCTTGAAGTGCATATTTGTGCTGCATGTGTATATGTGTGTGTGGGTTAATCTATCAGCAACTGTTGGGGTTGATAATAGTGGCTGATGAACATAGGCATGGATGGGAGGGATTTAGTTTGGCCCAAACTGATCTGAAATGCATTTCATTATTAAGATTCCATGTTTCCACCAGGCAATCTATAAGGCAGCCAGTATCACTTCAGCCAAGTATTTACTATGTTTTGTTTTTTCAGTGTCATCTGCTGCAAATTCTGCTTCTTTATTCATGATACCAAATCAATTTAGACATTATATTAGAATAAGAGTTTGATACATGAGGGAGGAAATATGAGCATTTGAGGGGAAAGGGTGAGCAACAATAGACCTCATTCATCTAGCCAAACTATTTTTTTGATATACCTATGCTGACCCATTATTTTTTGTTGCCCTCTCTTTTAGTTTAAAAGCTGTACAATGACTCATGTCATTTTCACAACTTTTCCCTTCTTTGGTATTTCATCTTGTCTTTCTTTTATTTCCATGACCTCTGTTAAGCTTTCTATTTGGATTAGAGCCATACAAATCTCTTGGCTGAACAGTCTGATTAATCAATATGTTAAACAATAAAATGGCTTGTTTGGTTTTGGGCTTATTGTGTTGTATGAATCCAAACACTGTTATTCTCTGAGCTGCATGCAGACTGGCAGTGCATTAAATTATATTTTGGTTCTGAATGTAAAAAAAGACTTCAGTTATGGATCTGGAGCAGGCATATATGAGCTATTGGTGCTTTCTTAACTTAAAACATATGTTTTTCTGGGGTTGGATAGCTACTGTGGAAGTCCAGAAAAAGATGCTGTTTCTAAGGAGCCACCGATAACTGTAGCATTCATGACTGCTTAGAAGTCCTTTTGAGTTTTTAGACCTGATGTGCAGCCCATCTCTAAATCTAAACTCAAAGCAGGTGCTCCTTCCATTTTCTAACCTTCAGTACTTATTTTATTCTTTAACAGGTGACTTCAGGCTCTGGACCTACTTTGGCTATCTGTTGCATGATACATATTGTATGCATCAGGATCTGGCTTTGGTAACATTAACGATTTTATGTCTCTCTGTACTTCCTTGCAGAGTTCCTGCTGGGGACTGTGCAGAAGGATGGCAGCTGCAGAACCGTTGACTGCTTTCTCGCGTTGGTATCTATATGCCATTCATGGCTACTTCTGCGAGGTGATGTTCACAGCTGCTTGGGAGTTTGTGGTCAACTTCAACTGGAAGTTCCCAGGTGTCACCAGTGTATGGGCACTCTTCATCTATGGGACGTCCATCCTTATTGTAGAAAAGATGTATCTGTACCTGAAGGATAAGTGTAACATACTAGTGCGCTGCCTCATTTACACCCTATGGACGTATCTTTGGGAATTCACAACTGGCTTCATTCTACGCCAGTTTAATGCCTGCCCATGGGACTATTCACAGTTTGACTTGAACTTCATGGGCCTCATAACCCTGGAGTACGCCATCCCATGGTTCTGTGCAGCATTTATCATGGAACAGCTAGTCATCAGGAATACCCTGCGTTTGCGTTTTGATGAGAATGCTGAACCAGGTGTACCCACATCTGCTGCAAGCTTGGCCAATGGTCATGTGAAAACTAACTGAATTGTACCTTAGACTACACTATGACTAAGCAGTCTCTCCTGCCCCCTTCATTAGAGACCTGGGATGATGGCCTCAACAGCAAAACTCCTGTTTCCTTTATGATAAACAAACCTCCTGGGTTTGGAGGTGTGCATGAAAAAGTGGAATCAGTAGGTTTTCTATGAATTTTATTCTCTTTCTCTCTCTTGGTTCCTTTGTTTTTTAAACTGCAAGTACCATTGTCAACTACTTGTTGACTAGATAGTTCGACTTGTAATTTACTCTGAAAACAGTTCTATGATCAGTAGTTTATTATATCTGGGAAAGAAAAAACAAAAGGCTGGCCCAAATTGTGCAAATAACATTAGTGGACAGGCACAGAGACCCCAGTTGACTTAGTGATTGGCTTATATTCCATTCAGGTGCTTGCTTGCAACCAATACCTCCCATGGGACCTGAGATGCTGCAGAGTCAAGGAAAAATCAGTACCTGTTGAAACAGCCCAACAAAGTGGCAGACTACTGTGGAGATAGAATTTGCCTTGTTGTGTGCTTTCCTTAAGGCTTTTTTAAGTTGCACCACAGTGTATAATATTATGGTGCTGGACATCTTGCTGAATTTCTATAAAATATTACTTTTTGAATCATCCATTCTGACACTCACTAGATGGTTTGTTTCCCACTCTCATGTACCTATTTTTTAAATAAAGACCTATTTTGCTGGATAAAGTAAATCATTGCTGTACAACCTGCATTATAGATAAGTAGGCAAAAGTGGGAGAGAAACGGCTAAAGTCATCCTACCTCCTATTCTCACACCTTCTGGTGGAACTCAACAGGAGGGCTGCTTCAGATCTGATTCTTGCTAACTTTCATTGTGACTGTTTACATCATCAGAATCTTCTCTGGCTTCCTCCATGGGGAATTTTCTATTCTCAGAAATCCAAGTGTCTATAAATATGGACCATTGACACCATATTGAAGTCTTTGTCTGATGCCTGGATTCATTGGGAGTTGAAATCCTGCAGGACAGACTCTTGAAAGGCCTGTGGTCATTCTTTTTTGTACTGATCTTCTCCAAGTTCTGCCCTGGTGTTCTCAGTGTACAAATGGTAGTAGTAATGCAGCAGTATCTCTTCATAAAGCTATTTATGAGCAACTGTTGATGGTATCTCACTGTTTGCTGGTGGTGAACTTTGAAGGATCATCCTTCAAGAAGTTTCAAGTGAGTGGAAAATAGCATAAAAGGGCTGCAGATATTCTGGAGTCTGGAGCCAAAGTGAATGTCCCAAGAGAAATATGTGATTTCCAGGGGCACCTAAAGAAGAACTAGTGATGAACAAGAGTCTGGCAGTCATCAAAAGAATCTGTTCCTTTTGTTCATAGAAAAAAAAAAGGGGGGGGGAATTGCTTAAACTAAAAACATCCAATAGCTTTAAGAAGAAGATATGCTATCACTAGGCCTCCTGGACCAGAAGGAAGTCCAGATATCATTTGCATAGAATGGAATGCACTGGGATGGAATTGCACCAGCAATGGGATGAGCTTGTACTCTTGTATTTTTTTTGTAGTGGCACCACCTCTTTTGTTTAAAATGAGACTGTCTCGTTGTTTGGCAAACTGTTAACTTTTATCTACCTGGCAGTTATTGTATTGATGGGTTAACCTGGCAGTTATTGTATTGATAACATAACTGATAGGTTAGGACTACCGTTTGAAGAACTCTCTGCCCTCAGTTTGCACTGCCAGGGAATTCTGGGATTCCTAGTCACAGCCCACCTGATGGCAAAAGATTTCGGAAGGTTGAGTTCTATTCTAGGAGCAACAAGAAGGGCAAGCTGCCACCCTGAGTAAGTGTTACGTGGTCATGATTAAGAATGAAGGTAATAGTAACTTGCTTGGTATTTTCAGAGTGTGATTATTTTATTTCTTTACATCTCCCGACAGACCTGATATCCATTGCTGGCAGTGGATGAGCAGGAATGTTAGCAGTGGAAGTATTGCCAGGTCTGCCCTATTGTATTTAGCATCTCTTGACACACTTAGCAGGATTAAACTTTGCCTTTTATAAATTCTTCCTTTTTTATTTTTAATCAGTACTGATCCAAACTATGTTTCAGGAAAGGGAGGGACCACGCAGACCATTGTTATTAGCCCTGTAACAATGGCCAACTCTACTAAAAAATAAGATGGTGGGGTAAATCATAGATCTTAAGCTCTTTTACATATGGCAGGAAATGGGCTACATTTGCACTTTCTGGTAACCATCATCTGTGAAACCTTGGAAAAGGCTAGAGAATTTCAGTCTTGCCATTACTTGAAGATATATATTTTTGGTTCAAATGAATTCCATGAAATCGTGCTATAGGGGTTAGTAAGTTGCATTACAAATACACTAAATGAAGGTTAAAGATAGCAAAATTACTGAATACAAAGGAGTTGCATTTTTGTGCCGGTAATACCAATTCCCACCATTTGATAATACTGTAGTGCAATTCTGTGTACCTTGGGGATGGTAGACTATAATCTGCTCCTAAATGACATGGTGTTTCATAATTGGTCAATAGTTATGACATTCCGCAAATGTGTTGCATTTTCCTATGTTACATCAGTACCTTCTAAAGCTTATTTGATATCATTTTATTTGGTACATTGTGCACAGATCTATCTTTAAGGGGCTATAATTTCCATGTACAAATGCAGAAAGTTGTATACCAGAAACTAGGCTGAGCTATAATTATTAACATTTTTATGTAGAAATCTTCTCGAACTTGTGCTCGAGATGCATTGGACAAATCTCCAGGCAACATGTCCGGAGGGTACCAGGTCAGGGAACGCTGCCATAAACCATCCATCAGATAATTCATTGACTGGGTAAATATCCTTTAATTCAATGCCTAATCCTCTCCAGGTTATTTTATTAGCCAGACTGTGCAGATCTCATTATTGGTTCTGGAGAAAATCAACTTAGTGGCACCCAGAGATTTTCCACTTTTATTTCATTTATTATTTTTTTCTTTTTTTCTCAATTCAAATGGAGGTGGGGGGTGGGGGAGAACCGAACTACTGATGTTTTATTACTGGATTATTTAAAATTACACAGCAATGACAGTTATATTGTTGATAATAGTAGCCAAAAGGCAGTGGAGGATGCACTGGCACCTAAAATACATAATAATGAAATAAATGAACACAATCCTCAGTTAAATTTTTGCTTGTATGTGTATCCTCCTCCATAAATTAAAATTGCCTGTTTGAATTCACCAGCAATAAAAAACTTGTGGTTTGTTGGTTTTGCTTTTTCACTTAAAGAATGGCTTATGACTTAAATTGTGAGAAATTGAGATGGACAGAGAATGTGTGTAGGTAACAAACTTTCTTATGCACACTCCAAATTCATAGCAATTCATCTTTAAAAAGGATAGAGAACCCAGCTATCTTAGCTGTTTGGCATCCATATTTTGTTAGCCAGCTGTCCTGTTCTGCTGGATCAGCCTTCTCCAACCAGCTTCCTCCAGATGTCCTGGACTTAACTCCTGTAATCCCTGGCCAGCAGTGGCAGCTCTATAAAATACTGGAATAAACAAGACAGCTCCATCATCATGCTTTGCAGTTGGGGGTTGGGCGCCATGTAAAAAAGGTACGTTTTGTCTAAAATGTGTTGGCCCTGGACCCAAGCTCACTGGGGCTACTGGCAGTGTGGGGAATGCCTCTACCGTGTCATAACCCAAGAGTTTTTCCTAAACTAAGCCTTGCAGTGAGTCTTTGAGAGGTGTCCCAGATGCTGTATTCCAAAAAAGTGGATTGGGTTGGTAGATTAGATTAGATTAGATTAGATTAGATTAGATTTATAGTTAATTAAAATTACATTAAAGTATTTGAACACAGTGGTTATGACTACTCCCATAGAATTTAATAATTTCCCCATTGGACACATTAAAGAGTACAATTTTTGATCCACCCAAGGTTTTGGGGGCTTCCTACAGCTCTGAATTAGAGCTAGCCCATTTTGGAGAAGTTCTGTTATTCCAGAGGGCTTAATTTTTAGTTGAATGTTATACTACTGTACATAGGGGAAGATTCTGAGTATGTCAGCATGAAGTCTAATTCAGACCTTCTCCAGAAGTTTTCTTTTACAGAGTGCTTCCTAATATGCAGGGAAGTGAACAGAAGTCAACAGAAAAGAGATTAACTAATGTAAATCAAGTGAAAAGAAACAACAAGCCTTTTGCTCTCTGGTTTGCCAAAATGTCTAAGCTGACGCATTTTATAATAACAGTGGATTTCAGTGGATTAAAACATTTTAAAATTTGCTTTCACTCTTCTGACCACTTTGGGACATTGCAGAATAATCAAAGTTCCTCCATACCTTAAAAAAATAAGAGAAAATTCCAGCCAACCATGATGGTATTGAAAAGAATGTTTGATCTAAAAGATCGTTGGTCAGTACTTATTTATTTAATCCACTTATATGGAGCTGCCCATGTCAAAAACATTTCAAAGTGGTATATGAACATTTTTTGAGAAAACATTAATTAAAACAGAATTACATAGAATAATTACAAGTATTTAAATATTTCAAAAGATTAATGAAAAACACTTTTAAAAATCCATTCACAATACTCAGAGAAGGTCTGGGTATTGGAATGGGGATTCAGAAGGCTTCTGAAATGCACCACAGGCTGATGCCTTTGAACATAAAACAATACAATGAAATTTGGAGGAAGAAGAGATATATCTACAGTCTTTCCCAAAAGCAGCTCAAAGCATGTAACACAATTTCAAGAAGCCTATTGCCCATACAGGTGAGGTAGGAGTACACTCTCAACCTATAGATAGATTGATTATTTGACAATTTTATCATGCATTAGCTTTCAAGGCTGCATTCCTATTTTATGCTACCATTGTCCCTCAGAATGTAAGGCTGATCATTTCAATGACAGGTCGTATCAGGGCCTGTGGGTGTCTCAGATTTGTTGGTACATTTTAAATATAAGTGTACAGTTTAAAATCCAGTTAAAATATTGGCGAGTTTTACTGCCACATATGAATGTCTTATCAACATTTGAATTTCCTGCACTTGTCAAGAATTGCCAAGAACATCATTGTTCTGGATAGAATTGAAAGTTCTGGGCTGGAAAGAGCTCTGCAGGCCCAAGGTAGACCTTTCCGATGAGTCCTGTGCAGGTGAGCAAGTTCAAGCATCTGGCACACCCAGGCTGTGGCGGTAGAAGCTATACAGGAGAAAGGAAAGACGAGGGTCACATGGCTACTTCTTCCCCACTGCAGCCACAGCAATGGCAAGTTGGGCCTACAAGACGACTCACCTCAGTGACCCAAAATAGGTCTTTCCCCCTCATCCTCAACCTCCTGCACTCTCAGCCCTCTCAAGGATGACTATGGAAATGGTAAAAAAAAGTCAAGATGGCAACCACAATGGTGCAATCAAAGCTCCACCTTTTTTGTGTGTATTGCAACTATCTTTCTCTCAGGTTTATCATAGATCTGGCTGCAGGCCTCAGAATGGCCACTAGAGGGCAGCAGGAATATTTTTCTTGTGCTGTATATCTTGGCTACCTTCTAATGGCCTTCTGGAGTTTTGCAGCCCAGATACTCAAACTAAATGACAAGGTTTTTTGTAGGTGTGGAGCAAGGAATGGGGGCAAGGATTAGCCCAGCATGCGTCTCTGCCTGTCAGCCCCATATATTTCACAGCATTGTTTCTGCTTGTTATTGTTCCTAAGGAACTATATTGAAATCAGCATGGTAGTAATAAGTAGTAAGATAATCCCAGTTTGAAAATTTCAGGTAAATGTTTGTTTGTTTGTTTGTTTGTTTGTTTAAAGTTGTGAGCAAGTAGGGATATTAATACTATTGTTCAACTTATTGCCATGAAAAATATGGATTGCCTACATTTTCATTTTTCATTTTTTTCTTTTTTTATTATATTGTAAAACATATTTTCAAAATAGCAGACTCAATTAAAATATCTCTTGATTTCACAATTTAATACAGATGCACTGCAGTTTCTAAAATTCTCAAATTATTATCAGTATTAGAATCTGTTCTAAGTCTGTTGCATTTTTAATAAAGACTTTTGCTATGAGGGTTATGTTTTAGTTGCAAGAACTAAAGAATCAAAAGTTAGAATACTCCATATCAATAAAAGCCTAAGGGCTTTAAAGAATAAAAAAATGTTTCTCATAATATTAAGATGAATCTAATTCAACAAATATTCTTTGTCATGTTTCCATATTTTAAAATGGATGTCTGTCAATCTCATTGTGAGGGAATTTTAAAATGGATGAGGGGACACCGACTCATGATATCGGCTTGTTGTCACATTTGGGTTTAATATCCATAGGTTTGTTAATATTCCAATAAAAAATCAATATAGTTTAAAGATGTAAGTGTACCTTTAAATTATACACACACACACACCCCTGGAGCTTAACACTTTATGAAGAATTATGGATTTATTGAGCATGGGGAGTAACTATTAATCCTCAGAAGAGTAATAATTAGAAAGACAGTCCAAAATAGAACATTATATTACTTATAGACAGGGATTAAATGATATTTATGATGGCAGGATATAGAATGAAGTCTAAATATGAAAAATCTGTTCTACATCATATTCAATAACAATATCTATTGTAGCACGTTGACTTTGGCTATGGGACATCGTGGAAGATAGAAGAACAAAGCAATCTCATTCTGGTTGACCAAACTCATTACCAGTACTCACCCTAAAGACTTGGTAAGTAAAAAGAGGTTGGCAGTTTTTCCAAGGAGTTACATCAAAATTAAGTAGAATCTTGTCTAGTTTTATAAAAATTGAGATCTTGACATTTAGGATATTTGTTGGAACTGAAACAAATACAGTAACAATTGTATGTGCATGAAGACGTTCTCCAGAATATGAGTCCATGAAAGTTGTGATGTTGTGGCCAGAGTTTAGTCCACCCAAATCTATGCCATGAAGGGCAGAGCAACATAGAGTCCTAGACACAGCAATGACATACACAAGTTTGTAGAAGCTTTCTGGGAAAGCCATGGGAGAAAACTCAGTCTTGGCATTAAGACATCTGACAAGCCAATGGACATCCAGAAGAATAAGGTTAAAATCAGATTAATGCTGTGTGCAAAGACAAACAAAACTTTAGCTCTTAAATGATAAACTTATTTGAAATAACTGCTATCTGAATACTTAGTACTTGCAATACTATACCATAGCATGTACGTTTGTATTTATTTAAAAGGCAGATGTAGATGGGTCTTTTTAAAAAGAAGGCTTGACATGCTCTGTCATAAGGTGGCTAGCAACTTAAAAGTAACACAGGGGAAAGGAAATGGAAGCCTTTCTGCTCATTGTTTTTCTGCTCATCACACCTTTCAAAAACTGGAAAAATCTGGAAAAAGTGCAGGAAAGGTGATAAAAATGATCAAGAGGCTGGAACAACTCCAAATTGTTATATAAACAATGATGAATAAAGAATTGCTATGGTGGAGGTATATAAAGTTATGCAAGCTATGCAGAAAATCAATAGGGAGGCATTTTTCTCCCTCCTTCCTATCAGTAGAACAGAGATCATCCACATAAGCTGAAGAATGGAGAAGTCAAGCTAGATTGATGCAAAAGGTCTTTAGATAGTGCAGACATAAATTATGGAATTTTCCAAAGGACAGATGGGACTGAATTCATACAGAGGACTTTAAAAAGATGAGTAGATACAGTATATTGATGGAAAATTCAAGGATTTCAATAGCAGGGCTACTAGTAGGGCCACAAAACTCAGGATGACCACCAGACAGTGACAAAGAATTAGAATTTCTCTACCTCTTTTCTAAAGTGTTACTAAGCTTTAAAAAAAACCCTAGAATTAACCATTATTGAAAAAATAATTACTAATCTATACTATTATATCTAAACTAAATAGCTTTATAACTAATTACTATTATATGAACGACTATATACTTTAAAGAAAAAATATATCCTTTTATATAATAAACTGCTGAGGGGAGAGGGGAGAAAACGTCCTATAGTAAACTAAGGAAAAAGAAATTCTAGACAAGAAAAAAAAAAGGAAAAAGACAAAAATCACTTTAAAAAGTAAGAAAAAACAAAATCTTATCTAATCTAGTTCTAAATATAAAAGGAAAGAAAGAAAAGAAAACGGTTAGCATATATCATATCAAATATGTTCTCTGGTTTTACCTCTCCTTCGAAGCTAATTCAAAGTCTGAGAACTGGCAAATGTCATTAAGGCAACTTTTAGGACTAGGAGAATCTAGAGACTAGAGACACAAGGATTCTTCCAGGAGAACATAATCAACTTTTTCCACAAGAGTCTAATTTTAATATATCCACAGTTCTTTATAGATTGAGATATTCCAAATTTTTAAATACAATTTAATAAAGCATTTAACCCTTTTTTAAACCCTTAGCTGCATTTCAAGAACTTAGTTCACAATAATAACTACAGCATCTGTCTACCCCAGGTCCTTGAAAAGGACTCAATGGGTGGATAAAAATGCCAAATCCAGTCTAAACATTGGCTGACTGTGCGACCAACAATAATATCTAAACAGTAAGGTGTTGCAAATGGACCTGCCCCTGTCATGTGCATCAAACCCCCTTCAAAGTTATTACATTTCCAGCATAAAAGGATGAGAGCCAACATAGTGTTTGCTGCCATCTAGTGTTTTAGCCCTGATCAATGACTATTAGTCATATTCCCTCCATTGTCAGTCAGCATGCTTCTCAATACCACTTACTGGGGAACCCCAGCAGGAAGTGATATTGGCTGCTTTGGAAACAGAATGCTGGATAAGATGGGCCAGTGATCTTATCCAACATAACTCTTATGTGATTATTTGAATGGCTTAAATTACAAATAGTTTGGTTGATGAGGGAGATCATTCTTTATGTCATGAACAAGGCCCTCTGATGTCTTGTATGCACTAAATGAGCTTCTTAGATATGGGGATAAGGGGATAAAAGGGGTGCTGGCCTGGGTTCTTCTTTCAGTTGCCATCTGCTGAATAGAGCATGTACTTTCTGTCAAGGACACCTTCAGTAGTTAATTCCTCCGTGGAGATAAATGCATAGTTGGGAATTTATTGTATTATTGCAAGGCTAGCAAAAATCCTATTTTGTTACAGAGGTAGCATTCCTAAAACTGCTTGCTTCCTCTCATGCAATTTCTACAAAAGTACTTACAGTTAAAAAAAGATACACTGAAGGAAGCAGATGTAATCAACTTATGTTTTAAAAGTGGCCGGATTTCAAATAAATAAATAAGTATGTATAAATAAATAATAGATTGAAATGTAGCTTGATTCATTGGGTCATTATGAAACAAATGCAGTCTAATGGATTTCATTTATTTTCGTTTTCCTATTTCCAATATATGTAACTATTTTTCTGCCAAGGAAAAGCATCCAGAACGATGCAGAAGATTATAATGAAAACACAGTACAATGTACC